CCCTAGCTGTAGACTGTTCGCTATGCCAGCAAGGAATTGATCCGATATCATGCGTGCTATATGCATGATTCCAGGTGTTTCTGTTAACTGACGCTGGTGAAAATCCTGCCCTAAGGTATAACCGATATGTGTATTCGGTAATTTGTTGCCAGTATAAGAATGAAGTGTTGGTATCTGTTTCTGGTATTCATCAGACCATGGCAAGTTTTGTGCAGAAATCGGCACATGCTCCCCACTAGACACATAAGATATATGAATGGGTTCTGTTGGCTTGCTAAATGTGGTCTGTGGCCGATGTTTGGGGTATTTTCTATAACTTTCAGTCGACAGAATATTAGAAGTGGGCTGGTTGACAAGGGGTTTACGTAGTGGATGTGCAGAACAATACCTACTACCTTGCTGTGCTGTTTGTCTAGAATTAGGGATTCGATAAAATTGGCTTTCCACTTGGCACCAATTAGGCCTACCCCTAGGAGCTTCGTCTACCATATTTGACTTTCTCTTACAAAGAAGGCCTACAGGTGCTTTCGTCTCTTTCTTATCAAAGGGCTTTCTTGCTCCGGGTTTAGTATTTAATTTATTTACTTCTTTTTCCCTATCTTATGATCAACTGGCTGATGATGGCTAACAGGGCAGTCAGCACATGCTATGTAGGGTTTCTGTGGCTTGGACACCTCATGAGCTTTAGTTTTCTTAATGGAAATGGGACGTTTGTCATAACGCCTAGAAAACTTGCCAACTTGGGTGGCTACATTCGACTGGTGCTTCACAGAGTGTGGATTGTCAGACTGAGGAGTAACTGACTTATAAGGCAATGGTTGGACCACCAGTGGGATGGGTTTTGATGGTTTCGGTGTCTTGACTTTTGCGTCAGTGTGAAAACGATGTATTTCAACATTATTTCCCGTTGACTCATCTATGTCCACCATTTCAGTGTCTGCATCAATATCGTTGTATAATGCTTGGCTAACATTAGCCACTACCTGCGAAAATGTCTGTTGCATGCCGTGATCAGATATTTCAATAGACGGAATAACGCACGGAACATCATCTACAGTTATCCTATTAGAGTTATCAGGGTTCACTGTTCCTGAGCGGCATCGCCTTTGGCATGGTGTTAAATCAGGTGCAACCCTAATGTTAGTGTATGGTGTTGAAGAGCCTGTTGTCTTACCCGATTTCAGAAAATTCCTGGCTTCTTCAGTAGACCTAAACTTGAAAAGCACAGGACACGGGTGGTTTGCAGATTTCTTACGAAGACGCAAAACCTGACATTCTGTCAACGACATATTACAAGCCTTTAGACACGAATTCTTAAGTTTGGCAATCGGCTCTCTGTCTGGAATGTTATAGGCCAAGACGTTATGTGAAGACATAATCCTCTTAACAGCTTCTTCAGCCAAATAGTCAATTATGCGCTCGGATTTGATTAGTGATTCAAAACAGATGTTTTGCTATGGGTCACACAGTTGCGTGAGAGGCATAATGCTGTCAAACTTGCTCTGTAGTTCTGCTATTGACTTCTGAAGTGTCAGTAAATCATTTTCGCTACAAGCCGCAAAATTTTAGCTTTTAGTTAACAATACTACAGAAGGGTAGTTAGTACTACAGTTAGTCGTGATGTAAATCAATCTATGTATAATAAGAGCATAGTCAGTGTCATAGATCGTATTATCAATGAATACATTAGGCTCAATACCTGAGTGTTATAAGGGAAATAAGAGCGGTAAACCAAGAGAACATTTGCCGCATAAGTATTTTAATCATTTTAGGTATTTTAATGACAATCTAATTTCAAGTATTGAACCTACATATTTACTAAGTATTATTATGTTAGTCTGGGAACTAGTGTACTTTCTGTAGTTAAATATTGAAATGCCGTTGTCTCTCCACTCTACCAGGAGTTGAGATCTTTGAGGCGGTCTAGGTTGGACATGTTAATATGTTTTTCTAGGCTCTTTTTGAAACTGTCAGGCCTTTCACAGGATCTAATCTCAGAGGGTAGTTGGTTTCAAAGTTTGCAATATTTAATGATGAAGAAGTTAGCTCTAGTGGTGAGTTTATGGGTGTTAACCTTGAGAAGGTAGTTATGGTTGCGTAGTCCATACGATTTAGGATTAGCCCAGGTTATGGACGAGTTACTGTTACAGTGCTTTCTTATAACTTTGAATAAGAGAAATAAATTGCACTTCACTCTCCTTAACCATAAGGGTTCTAAGTCCAGTCGAATACATCTGTCAAGGTATTCTGTTTGCTGACCATAGCCTAATATGCGTTTCGTGAGGAATCTTTGGACACTTTCAACTTTTTTTCTGTCTGCTGATTTAAAGCTACTGTATAAGTGGGCACAGTATTCAAGTTTGGGGCGAATGCATATCTTATATATGGCTAATCTGGCTTCTGGAGTGTAAAAGTTGCGTAGCACAAAGCCGGTTAGACGTTTACAATCAGATACCACCTTATTTGCATGTTCAGTAAAGGTAAGATCTGAGTATGTTACCCCGAGATCTGTGACTGTGTTCGTGTTTGAGACAAGGTCACCGTACATGTATAGACACATGCTAGGTTTCCAACGTCCGAAGTATGCTATCCCAGATTTAGCTGGATTGAACGTTAACTACCACTTTTCACTCCAATTACATAGACTATTTAGGTCTTCTTGGATTTTACTAACAATATTCATATCATTATAGTCGAAATCATAGACAACTTTGAGGTCATCTGCAAAGAGGTAGTCAATGAAGCTATGAAAAATAATAGACAAAAGTGTAGAAAAATTAGCACAGCAGCCCATGTTGAACTCAATAATGTGTACTTTTTCTGCAGTACTGTCAGTTAGAAGTGTTTGTACATATAGGTGTAACTGTGATTGATTGTTTATTTCATATGTTGATGTGAGATATTCGTGACTTGTACAAAAGTATGATTTTTAATAATTTATGTTTATAGAATCATCAAATGTAATACAAGTCTCTATTAATTTTGAGCATGTGAATGTTGCTTGCATGTATGAATCATGGGGTAGCATATACAGTTGAATGTAGTAATAGTATTTAACATCGGGAGAAGTTTTTAGCGACAATATGCTCTATGCGTGTATGTAGTACAGAACAGTTAGAATATATAGAGTAAACAAAGTTATCAGGCATTTTAGGAGGTTAATAACGGTATTATCGGTTCAATGAGTATATACATATATGTTTATGAGTATCACAATGTGTCTCGCGTGTGAATCATGCCAAATGGTAGTAGACTGAACGGTAGAAAAAAAGTATTCCCATATGGCAATAAATTTACGATATCACTGGTTCAATTCTTTTCTACGTCTGATCCACACGTTACACGCATGCAAGTATCATAGATTTTCAAACAGCCTTGAATGGTTGAGATGCAGAGGCGTGAAATGTCGAAGGAGGTGAAAAAGAGTCTGCGAAGGTGTTTTTCAGAGAGTTTACTGGTCATCCCTCGATAAGGGATTACAACTGGAATTTACATGATTCTTTGAACTGTATGTCCCATTGTAGACAGGAATCGCTTACATGCAGCCACCATCGTTGGAGCTCCGTATTTTGACATCTTCGACGCATTGCTGATGTAAATGTAGGCATCGCTGCAGATTGTTACGTCGAGAATGTATGCCACACCGTCTAACAGGATAATCATATCTGGTTGACAGAAAGACGTGGGTGTTGGAACATGCGGCTCGATGTAAAATCTGGTATTGGATTTCTGGAGTTTGTTGGCCATCAGCTTGAGGATGTCGTTGTGCCTCTTGCATCTGACCTCATGAGTGAGAGCGCAATGCCGAAGATTATGTTGAAGATCTTCTGGTTGACCACACCCGCCTCTGCAGTTGATGTCGACTCTACGACGTACCCACGCATGTCTCGTTTTTGTGCCCAAGGCTCCTCCACGCAGCTGAACGGCCCATACATAGAGTTTGGGCAAGACCATTTCAGGGTTGAGAAGCCATTTGCGAGATTCAGGACATGTTGTTGATTCCTCAAACCATAACCATCCGCTGATTAGTGTAGCTGTTGTGCCCAGCTTTCATGTGCTTCTTCTGCAGATGTTACTATTTGCCTGTGGGCTTGCATCGGAACAATCCTCTCGCACTCTGATTTGGTCCTGAAATATATCTCGTAATTTGGATGATCGACTGTCGTGTTTCGCCTTGCCTTTGGTCTACGGAGAACGAATACTATAGAAGTTGTGGGTATTAGATCTTGCGTTAGTATACTTCGTACTATCCGTGAACACCAATACCGTAAGCCTCTAAACTACCATCTAATTGTGTTCGTTTCCATTTATCCCCTAGCCCTTTTATTTTCATTTTTTGAGTTCCCCTCCGTTTATTGACAAGATGAATAAGGCTTATTCGGAACACAGCTATTTTGTGGTCTTAACTCATCTGATGCTAAAAGTCAAATACTACAAACTTACCGCATTACTCCTTTATGGAGTCCGCTTCAGGTGCATTGTGCTTTGAAGGAGTGAGATGTCCGACAAAGAACAGTAATTTTCAAATCAATACCATGAAGCAAGGTCAAAGAAATCAATATAGACAACACTAGCACGTTATGAGAAGTTGAATTTTGAGCCTGTCTGGAATATTATCAAGCGTAGCAAAATTCGCAGGTTTTATCAGCCTCACTGCCCTGGTGCAAAAAATACATCCACATAAAAACATATCAACCCCTGTCAGCCACATATCGTAAACCGTTAATGCCCAGCTCTTGCTACGCTGGGACTCACGCTGTTTCTTGAAGTTTCTCAGAAACGCTTAGTAATAACAGACGCAAAACCAAAACACCGATTGGCCACTCGAGAATTCTTTAATGTAACACCAACATATAGACAACTTCAAAACTAGGCTTTACAACTAAGTTCTATGAACAAATATTACAATAATAAATCACAATATTACTTCTGACGGTTTTGACCTGACTTCTTTCTGAACAGCGACCTATGAGACGATGACTGGTGTATTGATGCCTCCGCGAAAATTGGGGAAGTTGGTATTGAGCAAACAACCATGAATTCATCGTTCAATCTTCTACTACATTGACAAGCCCCATTCACATAACGTAGTTAAAACGAAATTGGGTATTGTGTTGTCAGTCAGCAGATCGCTTTTGTTTAGAACAGTCAAAATTAGCTGGTGTGTTGGTGAATTGTGTATGTGCACATTTGGAATATGTGTTCTTGTTGTGTATAAGATATCATGCACTCAAAATCAACTTCTGTGAAAGATTACTCCGGACCACCTGAAATACGAAAACATAAAAATTCTAAAATCTGCTATGGAGTGGCTGATGAAGTTTTTACCCAGGACTTAAACGCAATCCTTCGCGAAGAATTACAAATAGCTGACAGACATAAATCTAACTATGAAACTCTCAAGTCTGCATTCAAGAAGCTTTATGTGAGTGATTATCTGTATTTATCAGTTATTTTTTTCTCAGGGCGATTCTTTATAATTTGAAAAATTTGTGTCACATGCTGTTTTAGGAGACTTAGGGAAATTTGGAAGTGTTTTCCAGATTTTTCTTGAATGTTCGTGAATTAATTTGCAGCAGTGTTTTCCTGAGGAAAATGGTGTTTTTGTGGGGTCTACTCTTTTTCGATTAAGTCCTACTGATTCTCAAACTATAGACTGCATTTGTTTGTCACGCTATAACAATGCAACCCATCCAGTTCACATAACTAGGTACAAAAATCATAGACCCTTAAAAGAAAGTGCATATTTTTGCGACTAGTGTCTTTTTGCTTAAAACCTGTGTTTAACTTTGTGGAAGGTAAATGTCGAATACATAAATAATACACATAAATCTCCATCAAAGTTTTCAGCCTCACCGACAGAGTTCCCCCCATTTCTGAAAATTCTACAACTATTAATTGGAGTATTTATTGCATGCTTTCATCATTATTTTAGTAATTTTTTTAAATTCGGAATTTGCAAGCTTTAATTATTTGAGAGTGCCTCATTAATCAATGCCTAAGGCGTTGAATTATGTGTAGTGAAACTTGACTTAGATACCTATTCATAACTGGGTATCATGTAGTATTACTGTAGGACGTAATATAAAAAGGTATTTTAAGCTGAAGTTATAAGGCAAGCTATACATGTGCATAGCAATTGCAAACTTGAATATTGTCATTTTATTTGGTCTACTTAATATGATATTTTGACACCTTTTGCTTTTAGTCCAACAAAATATTATTTCTCCACTTATTTATGCATCAGTGGTAAAGTGGGACTTCAGCACTGAGTTGTGTGAGTTCGGATCTATTTGGACAGCTGGCTAAACTCTAGATTCAGAAAGGGGTATGTTGATCACAGCTCCACGCTTCGAAAGGTTATCAAACACTGGCGTCCAGTATTTACTCGTAGAATGTAAGCAGCACTAGATTCTGTTGACCTAGACATGCTGTGTCCACAAAAGGAATTCCTAGAGAGTCTGTTATACTAGTCAAGGCACACCACTTGAATACATGCAGATTGTTTAGGACTTTGGCGATACTGAAGACGATTCCGTTCATAATATTATAGTACATCTAAGTTTTCACTTTATACGGTGTGCTAACGTTGTACACAGTCAAAAATAAACAACACTGTAATAAGAAGTACAAGTGAAAACTTGAAAAGATGTATTGTTAACGTAATCGAATTTTGAAAAACGCGAAAATGAACGGAAAGTATATAACGGCGTAAGAAGTGCACCTGTAACAAAGAAAAGCAATATTCAGTAATGCAATAGCAAATATCCACAAGCATATGTAAAATTAGTTTCTGTTTGCGTATAATATGCATACATTAATCAGTTTTATAAGCGTGCAGTTAGGCTTGATTTATGCGTGCTACAATAGCTCCATTTTTATTCCGTCCCATTCTAGATGTACTGATGGAAGTTATCTTGGTCGCCTTCGACTTCTCAGAAATTGGATTATTAATCATGCTAAGTTTAGATTATCTAGAATACACAAACAACATAGTATCTCTTGTTAAAAAAGTCCAATCTTCCGAACATCTTAGGCAGAGTATGTGCAGAATGTGATCCATCCCTTTCAAATGTAAGATAATGGTTAAGAACAGGACTGCACTGACTCACAAAACCTAAACACGGATATAGAAGCCTCGTCTGCTATTTTCGAGCTAGTATCTCTGGTGCAGGCGTGATATCTCAGTATCCATCGAATTGATGAGTGCTCTGTACAACAGTCTGTCTCATCCATTTTGATGATTGAGATATGACCGTTGAAAGTGTAATGTGTAAAGATTCTAACTGTCTTCAAACACACATATTTTCGTTTCATCTTCCACGTTAGGTGGTGGTGTAATATAGCCAATAATAGGGATTTTACTTTTTGTATTCGTTTAGGAGAAAACGTTAATAATAAGGTTGTGAAGTTGTGTTGCTTAAGACGTATAGTATATGTGTAAGGCATCGGGATCAGTTACCTTCTACATCCAGCAATGTTACTTTACATAGGATGAGATTAGAAAAGAGACATGGATTATCAGAGGAAAACATGTGGTCAGTCTATGAAGACAGAGATAATGAAGATAACCAACCAACACCACCAACAACAACAACCAGCACCAATCACCATCAACGGGGGAAATTTAACAGAGGTTTAGCCCTTAACTTATCTAGGCGGCCAGCATCGATTCAACTACAGGCTACTAGCACAGATTAAGATGTCAAAGTCAGAGTTGGAGAGGCAAGATACACCTTCATCAGGCTGAAACCAGTTTTGAAATCTTCTGCACTCAGTTAGCATAAAGAATAAAGATTCGGATTTTCAGCACTAATATCAGGTCGGTCTTTGTATACGGTTCAGAAATTTGGCTCGATAGTCACGAAAAGGATTTTTTAACAGGTTGAAAAGTTTCATTAAAAACTGCCTTTACTGACTTCATACTGAGGATCAAATGGTCAGAAAGAATTAGCAACAAAAAACTGTGAGAACAAACCAACAGGCGAGAGCCGATCGCTCAACAAATATGCAGGCGAAAATGGAGACGTATCGCACATTAAGGACGTAAGGTAGGAGGGGAAATCAGTGGACGAGGCTGTGAAATTACATCTACTGAGATGGTCAGAACATGAGTTATGTACAAATGCCTTTCCATCGCGTTCCTCAATGAGCGATGTTAGCTGAAATAGGATGGATCAGACTGGAAAAGAGCTAGCACGTGGTGGTCAAAATAAAACATGGCTTCATCAGTCAATGAAATCCGCAACAGTTAGTTTGAGCCAACTAGCCACGTTAGGAGGTGTAGACTTCCTAGATGGTTAGGGTCTGCGGGACCCTAAAAACTAGTGGAGGCTGGAGACAATCGCTGATATGGCTCAAAGTGGTCGTTCTCAATGGCTGGTGCAGTTAGGTGCATCCACTCCTTGTGACTTGTAATATCCAATAACACTATATGGCTCTTTGAGACTACTATTCTTTATGTCTCATATCTCTGTTTACTGTCACTATTTTGCATTTCCTTTTGCTTTCTTTTCTGGCTACATGGAGTGCTACATGGAGTATAGCAACTCGAATAGCTGCACATGGGTGCAAAGTTATATCTTGAAAGCAGTAAGTCAGTCTTGTCGACTGACTTTTTCTCTCAGCCTCAATACCACTCATCACATTATACCACTTAACACGAGATAAATAACGCAAAACATATGCGGTCAGAGACAGTTAACATTTTCATATTGTACTGTGGAAATTAGAAGAAATATATTATAAATAATTTTGAGAAATATGCTGTGAAATAACACTTAGGCTTATGTCTACATTGTTTAACTTCTGTCAAGTAGATCCAAAGTTCTCCACTGCTATTTTTAGTTCTTGTTTAAAACATCAGCGATATACTGAGACAGCGCCTTAGAAATGCAGTAAAAAGAGCATTCCCTGCTGCTGAATTACACTGTAACTTCAAAACCAACCCCCTGTGTTTTGCGTTCGGGAGTAAAAGATAAACTGACTAATTTCACCTCTTCCATGTGTACCTACCAATTTAACTGCTCCTGTGGAGTGAGCCAGTTAGTTGCATAGGCCGTGCAATTAGGCGTGTTTCTCGTCGAATTTTCGAACATCACTCTGCATAGTGGTTAAGTGTAGAACAAACAAAATCTATTCACACAGCGCTATTCTATCTCATCTTGTAGATACATAACACAAGATTGGTGTTAACACGGCGGCCTTCAAAGTCAATTACCACATACCAACAAATCTCAGTTTCGCCTTAAGATTTCGTTTGCTAAATATTGCTGAGAATGGCTGATGGGATGCATATTAAGAAGCCTAATTTGTGCTTCCAAAAGAAGTTAGTTCAGACATTCAAAACAGAAAAAAATCCCTATTTAGATATTTAGAAAACAGAAAGATTGAGCAAAGAAATAGACCCTCATCTCTGGCTCTACTCTAATATACACGTATGTATAGCATTTTTATTACAATACACAACAGTTTACCAATCAAGTGGCACTGATATGTTTGTTAACAATAATTAATGAGTCAGTGTCAACATGTCAATCGGGTGGGATGATAATTAACGAAGAAAATCAATACACACAATTAAAAGGTAGACATGGTTAGAATAAATTAATTTTACAAGGATAACACGTAATTAAAGATGAAGTGGTCAAAAAAAATAAAATGATTTGAACAATTATAATTTTTATAATTTAAAAGGTTTAGGCGGAGGGGGCGAAGTAGTCGGGTTTATACATTCATGTAACAATGGCCAAGGTAAGGAAAGTGGCTGTACAAATTTCATCTGAGCACATAGGTTTGGCTTCTTCCACAAGTGGATTCCTATTGCTTCAACTGTCAGGAGAAGACGAACTCGTAGAGCAAAATTAAGATTAGTAGGAATGTGGTAGATAATTTTAAATGCTGTATTAACGTCAACGTTATGCTCACTGTCTACAAGGTGTGCTAAAATAGAGCCACCTACGAATAGATCTTGTTTGTCCCTTGCTTGACCATGTTGGATGATGTTCGGAAATACTATGATGAACCTGCCTGATTGTACGCCCAATGAAGCTGGCTCCGCAGCTGCAGTCAAACTGGTAGATACACATAGAAGAAGCAAATTTAGCTAGTTTATCCTTATTTCTCGAACGTAGAATAGGGGTGGTTGTGAAGAGATATTATCCTTACCTTGGCCATCTAGGTTTGAATGATCCTCAATTTTTGTGGAATTTTCTTAATTCTAGTTAATCTTCTATTTACTACTATATCTTTGTGATTATTATTATTCTGATTTAAGCGTCTTTAATGAACTGTAATTCCATCGTGATCTTACTTAACAAATCGATATGATTTAAAAAACATTAATATTGTTATTGACGACTATTCTAGAATATTCTATGTATATAAACATATGTACATATAATTATAGAGCCAGAAGAGAAGGAAATTATTGAAAAGGATATTCTTTGCTCAATTATTTTGTGTTTTAAACACGTTTATGCTATTTTATTTTAGAATGCTTATAATCAACTAGAATCACGATTGAATTCATCAGCAAATGATTCAAAGTTATTGGAAAGACAACAACAACAACAACAACAACAAGGTGATATCCATCTGATGGAAGCACGCAATAATTTAAACGAATACATTTCAGCAATGGAGATTGTAAAACAGTCTAATTCTATACCAGCTGTAGAAACGTTGGAAATCTCTATGCTTAAGGTAAGGGTAAAAGACGTCTAAATGACTGATTCGTTTTAATTTTCGCCCTAAAGTTTCAAAAATCTGTTTATATTTTGAAAAGACAATCAGTGACTTCCAAAAAGGATTTTCCAGTGACCTTAAAATTATAACTTTGCAATTTATCCCATTTTAATCAACTAATCGATGTGTTAAGTGTGTCATTTTGAGAAATTGGAGCTGAGAAAATTTATAAAGTGAAATATTTATTAATTATCGTTTATGATATAAGCACCCTGAACTGTGTAAAATGCAGATCACGAATATAGTCTACTGTATTACCAGTTCTCCTGAGCAACCAGCCAAAATTCAAGCAATTTGAGCTGATTCAGCTTTCTGAGATAAAGGGAAAATAACAAGAAGTTCAGCAAAGATGGTGATCTTTTCGGCGATTGCATTCTTAAAAGCAGCTGTACAATCGCATTTATATGCGCATGAGTTTACATGGATTCCATATAGTAACGAAGGTGGTGATAATATTCAGGACAGACTTCCGCATATAACCACTTCAGTGTGCGTATTTCAGTTTACCTGCTCTTGAGGAGCTAGGTACATTTCTCGTTCTATATGGGTCTTGTCAAAACGTGTTAGAGAACATTATCCAGCATGGCTGCAAAGAGGAGACACTGGTTCAATCAGAAGCGCCATAATAACTGAACACCTCATCAATCAATACCTGTCACAGCATCCCAACTAAGTCATCATTCAGAGTCATTTACAAAGTAAAATAAAAATCTACCAAAGGCATCGTGTTTCCTACCTCTTTTTGTAATGCAGAAGCTCTCGCCATATGCAACGAAAAGCCGGAGCTGTGTGTTTAAAAGAAATTAGTCCAATCTCTACAACTACCACGGACCTAGTTCGGTATGTTCCCTTAGCCTCTGGTTTTTTGATTTTTTTTCCCGTTCACTGTGTGTGTGTGTGATTCTTATTCTCTCTGTCTTCATTCAATTCATCCCATTTTCTTTTTCAGTTATAAAATCAGTTATTTTAAGTTTGTTTCCATGCTCTTGTTGTTGCTCACACTTGTAATTCGTTTAGAATAACTATTTTACAATTATATTCTAATCCTGTGCAATTTTTTGTTTCTAAACCTCTTGTAATCTATATTCACACCTCCAAACTTACATTTCAAGTTGGAAAATTTTGATTTCAATTTGTCTCCATGCTCATTTTGTACACACCTGTAATTCGTTCTATCCCTGCGTAACTTTTGTTTCTAAGTCTCTTGTGATTCATATCAATTTCAGAAATAATTATCTCCTTTTATTCGCCTTTAAAATTATTTCTCCAGTTATCAAATATTAATTTTGCATACGTTGTAACTGTTTTTCTAATCCTATGCAATCTTGTCTCTAAGCCCATTGTAGTCTATATTCGTGCCTTCAAATTTTCATATCAAGTTGAAAATTATTATCACCTTCGTTACTATGTGGAATCCATGTAAACTCATGCGGATATAAAAATGCGATTGTACAGCTGCTTTTAAGAATAAAATCGCCGAAAAGATCGCCATCTTTACTGAACTTCTTGTTCTTTTCCCTCTAATGTCCCGATGGGTATTTTCTGAGATAAGTCAAACTTGACAAATTGATGATAAATGAGCCAAACGGCTGTCACTGGATCTGGAATCATTTCTATCTGGATAAATGGCAAGCATTACCGGTCGATGTGTGTGTGTATGTGTAATTCCCGTCTACTCATGTCGATGCATCAGTAGTATAAAATACCATGCAGTTATAAGTATGTAGACAGTGATATTCCATAGTTATTTTGGTAGAAAACCGTCAGTAGAATCTGCGTCAGTGGTATAGCGGTTAGGACACTCGCCGACCATAGTCATGGTCCGGGGTTCGATCCCCGGCCACTGACGCACTCCTTCACCTCGCTAAGCTAGAAATAATGCTGGTAAAGAGGAAAGGTTGGGCATGAGGCGGCTAGCAACCCCATCCTGTAAAATAAACACTGCTACATAAACTTCAGGCCAATAGCTTGAAGCGCTATGCTCCACTGGGGAACATGAAGGGAAAAAAAAGAATTTGAGTTCTGGCAATAAAGAAAAGCATTCAGATTTCTAAATTTTTTTGGAGATTTTATTTCATTATGGGTAAAAATTTTTATTTTGATAAAGTCTCACAGTGTGGTTATACGGTAATGTTAACTGATGACCACCTTTCGAGCACAATTTATTACTGCTCATAATCATATCAAGTCACTCACTCACTCACACAACTTTTCACTTCATTCATATACATGAGTGAAATTGATGATTAGACATTTGATTGAAAATCAATATAGGATAATGTACATTCAGAAACAATAATATGAGTGTTGTTAATCAAATACAATCAGATGGGAAATAAAACGAGTGTTTTTATAGTCAAAATAAATAAGTAAATTGTTATAATGTTACAGTGTATGGGAATTGAATTAGAATTTTGAGATTATAAATTATCCTCCTCTGGTTTGACTGAGTGGTGGCAATAATACCTTCCATACACATCTCTGGTATTTGCATTGAGTTATTTCTGTTGCGTGTTGGGTGTAGACTCGATGAACCGACATTCAGCAATCAACCTCTCTCTCTCCACCTACCTACATTATTTCTTAGAATGCTAACCCTCTCTCACCCACCTCATTGTGTGGTTATGTGTTAATGCATGCAGTGCAGTTGCTAAGCTTTTTTCTAAATTGCTTAACTTCTCGGGATCAACCATTCTAATCTTAGCTAAATTCTTATGTTGTGATAATCTCACTACTTCTGATCTACTAGTTTGACCTATGTAGTTGACCTCACTCACCGTCATTACAGGGGATTTTGTAAATTATATTATTTTGTCTAATTGAGTCAACCGACAGGGTCCTTTAACCTACAGAGCTTGTCCTACCTGAGTGAGTTTGTAGGTTTGAATGCAACCAATCTAATTCCTGCTTTGTTGAATATCCTATGTGGTGAGGGTATGAGATATCCCCTCCTTTTTATGGTAAAACCACTGTAGATGCCTTATATTCTCTCTTATGCTGGAACATAAGAATTTAGCTAAGGTAAGAATGGTTGACCTGAATCAATTACTTCCTAGTAAGTCTTTCAAATGGGTTATAACCCTTAATTATTGATTTTTTTTTATTCTTGTCCTTATGCATTCATATGGAATATGATGTGTTATGTTTTGTTTTTTTCCCTTCATTATATTTAAGATTACAAATGAATTAGAAGCAAAATATCGTGAACAAATTTTAAATCTACAATATGATCTACAAAGTTGTCAAAATGAAAATCGATTACTTGTAGAGGAGATACAAAATCTGAATAAAACATTAAATCAAGAACGTAGTGAATTCAAGAATACACTAATGAATTCAAAATTGTTTTATGAAGCCGAAGTAGGTAGTTTAAATTGTTTTTTTTAAAAATTGTTTTGTTACGAATATTTGTAACTCCGTTTTCAAAGCATATTTTTTACACTATTGGTTTGTAGGGATTTCGATTGATTGGTTGCAGGATTTCATCATGACCTGACATGGGTTAGAGAACCATTGGAAAACCATCAGGCTAGGAGTATCGGACAGTTGTTTCGTCCTAGTCTGGGACTCTTCATAAGTACGCACCCGCACCGGTGGGGTTCGAACCCAGGAGCTTCTGGTTACAAGGCTGGCAAGGCTCGTAGAAGTCGGGATTCATGGACTAGCCACGAGGATCGAGCTCCAGTGGCTTAATTGGTCTACGAGTTCGCTAGCCTTGTAACTAGGAGGACCTGGATTCGAACCATAGTGTTGTGTGAGTACTGTTGAAGTGTCGAAAAACTAGGCTTACGAAACAGCTGTCCAGTACTCCCAGGTGTTTTCCAATGGTTCTCTAACCAATGTCGACTCATGATGAAATCCTGTAACCTTATTTTTACAGTCTCTATTCTAGTTTTTCATCATTCGGTTGACGAATATTATTAGTGTATTTTTCCTCACTCCTTATGTTCCTAGTGGAATAGAAGTCTTCAAAATTGAGCTTTGAAGTTTCAGTAGCAACGGTGTTGTTTTCACGAGATGGATTTCCTAGTCATACGTCCAATTTCTGTCTTTCTTTTTTTAACTGTGCTTACTGCAAGCTAGGTGAGGTTTAGGAGTGAGTCAGTTGGTAGTCAAACCCCGACCACATGCGCCGTTGGTGAGCAGTCAACGAATGAACCACCAACGCATGTATACTTGTTAAACTTGCAAAATAATTCACATGTATTATGTGAAAGATGGTGATATTATTTTGTTAAACCAGAACTCTGTAGGTAGGACAGATTTCAAGCTTAAAATCCCGGTTTTCCTATGAATAACCTACAACTTTATATTTAAGATTTAAGTATTGGTTTTTGTAGGGATTTCGTTTGATTGTTTGGAGGATTTCATCACGAGCTGACATCATTTAGAGAACCACTGGAAAACCACCTGGGAGTACTGGACAGCTGTTTCGTCAGCCTACTTTGGGACTCTTCAGCAGTACACACTCACCACCAGGGTTCGAACCCAGGATCTTCTGGTTACAAGACTAGCTAACTCGTAGACCATTGAGTCACTGGGACCCGATCCAATGGCCAGCCCGTGATTTCTAGCTTCTGCCAATTCACGACATAGCGCAACCGCTGGCCAGTGTCTTCGGCGAGTATTTGCTCTCACACCCGACCTGCTGCTCCCTACTGGTGACGGCTTCTCACTAGAACCCCAGGTAACTACCTACCTGAATAGGGCAAGTCGCTAGTGAGCATCTCAAATATATAAAAGTGGTGGTTAGCTTATATGTAAGAATAAAATTATCTATTTAGTCCTACATGGGGTCAATCATGAAGCCAAATTGCTTGGGGTTAATGTCACTGACTGCATCACTGGGTGACGCTGGTTTGAATACCAGAGCAGATATCAGTTCTTTCAAGATTGCGGATACGTCTGCCTTACTGACTGGTGAGTGCCAACAAGTACGAAACCTAAAGCTAGGGCTTCATATGGCCGACTTCCTTCAGCCATCTAATGTATCATAATGGCGAGCCACCCAGAATGATAGCCACATTGCAAAACTTCACTGATAGAATTCAGTCTGCACCAAACAAATGGTTGTACACATTACACCAGTTAATGACTAGTGGTCAATCAAAGCATATTTAAGAATTATACAATAGTAATACTATGGTTTTCCATACTCTTTAAATGAATTATGCCTGTAGTAACGCAATCACAGGTTGAAATTAGTTGAGGTTAAGTGAACTAGAACTTTCATTGGTGATTTCAAGTTGACCTGTGAAAACCACTGGGGGAGTAATAAGTATCCATTACGCCATAGCTTGAATCTTTTTAGCAGTACGCAACCATCTGATACTCACTAGTTACTGACTACCAGCTGAAGTTGGCTGGAGTTCCAGTGAAGAGTTATGACCAGCGATATCCTCTATGTCCTCTATGGCTGGCAAATTGTCAGAAGTTCGAACTTATACGTCATCAGATTCCATCCCATTGGTTAAACGGTCGACAACTTCGCCTCGTGATACGGAAGGTCTTCAGTTTGTCCCCCCCCCACCTGATGAAGATATCGGTGAGTATTGTTGAAGAGTCTCAAAGGAGGACGAAACGTCTCTTCAGTACTCACACTGACTTTCAATAATTCATTTCGCAATCTAACTTGAAATGAATGAAATCCCAGAAAAACAAAAAGTTTGAAAATTTTATTGGGTTGGCGAAATAAATAAACAAATAAATGTTTTGAAATTTTCTGTTCATACTGTAGGCACTCGGAAAACATTGGCTGATGTACAGGCAGTCAGCTTTTCTGATAACAATGAAATTTATTGTTTATTATCTGCTAAATTTTCACTCCGCCCTTTCATCAATAAATTTATACCAAAAACTAATCTGTAGGGATTTAACTATTTGCTTTCAAGTTTTATCAAGGATTGATATCAGTTAGACAATCAATGAAAATTAGCAGGGCGTACTGGCCAGTTGTTTCGTCTTAGTTTTTGGACTCTTCGGTGATATACACCCCTCAGAGTTCAAACCTAGGGTCTTCAAGTTAAAAAAGCAAGCTAGTAGACCATCTCTCCCTTGGTATTAGATTCACTAGTTAGCGTTCGAATCCTTGTGGTGGATGAAAACAGTCGAAATGTCGCAAATTAGGACGAAACATCTGTCCAGTAGTCTCTGGTTTTCGATCGTTCTCTAACTGATATTATTCTGTGATAAAACTTGAAACAAATCTACACTATCTTACTTTTTGTTTAGATTAGTAGCCTACAATGATTATCTCAACTTTCAAAAAAGTGTACCTGGTCATTTAAAACTGCTTTTCAGACATCACATTTAAGTGTATTCAGTGTGTTGACTTCATGGTGGACCAATGGACACTGCGTACAGAGATGATACTCTGTTACACTTGAAAGGAAGAGAGAGAGAGAGGGATTTCATTGAGTATACTTACCTTTTTGATTGTTGGAAAATGGTTTTACCCGCCTTGATGGTTTAGTGGCTAACAGTTTCCACTTTGGAAAACTTAATTATGCAAATCTCAGTCTATGTGTATTCTACTTGACATCATAAACAACAATTAGGAAAGTAAGCATAAAATGCATAGTGGACGTTTGTCTGTCTGTCTGTCTGGCTTCAACATAGAACTTGGCACAAAAGTGCAACAGTTCGAGTTGCCACGTGCCAAATAGCACACAGAGGTAGACAAGAAGATGAGTGAAGAGAATCAATACAGTCTGACAAGTATAAGAGTGAAACAGAATGGGTAATGGTAGAAAGGAATATGAAAGATTACAGAGACTGAATACATCTGCGCTGGCCATTGACAACGATTTTCAGCCATGTCACCTATTGTCTCCAGCCATTGATTCTTAGAATCAGTCCCGAGGGCCCCAACCCTGAAGTCTGTATCTCCCCACCTGACCGACTCAGTTTAACTGTCAAGGATTTCATGGATTGATGAGGCCATGTTTTTGTTTGGCCACCACTGGCTCTTTTCCAACCTGCACCTATATCAGCTAGTAATGCCCGTCGTCGGGGGAGGCGATGGTTAGGCATGCGCATCACGTGACCTAGCCATCTCTATGCCATCTATGTAACTTTATAGCCTCGTCGATTGATTTCCCTCTTTGCCCAACACTCTACGCCTAACGTCAACATTACTTACCTTATTAAACCACCTAATGTGAGACAGAGATCGCAGACATCTATGATCGAAAGCAGTCAACCTTTTCATGTCTTCAACTCGTATTGGCCATGTTTCAGGGCCATAGAGAAGGACGGAGCGAACTGCTGAGCAGTACACACGTCCTTTGGTTGATAGCCGGATATCACGCCTACGCCAGAGATGGTGTAAGTCAGCGGAAGCAGCTCGAGCTTTTCGGATCGTGGACGTTTGAGTAACATTATCAAAAGATTCTCGTTTTATTGTTGGTATATGGATGACACCTTTTGTTCTTTGTGATGATGACTCCAATAGGAAAACAATAATAACTTAATTTCAATGAAGTACATTCTGCTATGAAATTCACGTGAGGAGAGAATCCAATATATATAGAATTAAGTGCCTTCCTAGATGTCCGTCCTCCTTATAAGAAAACCAGATGGTAGCATAAAAAGAAATTTGCATAGAAAAAGCACTTGGACAGGACAATATACACATTTTTAGAGCTTCGTTCCTATCAAGTATAAAAGAAATTTAGTGAAGACCCTCAGACAAACAGAGTTAGAGCTATATGCTCAGAAGAAGTAATTGAAGATGAATTAAGCATTGTATATGATACTTTGATTGAAAATGGCTATCCCGAGAAATTTACCAAGAAACACATGACAAAGAAGGCGGCGGAAAAGGACTACTCACTGTCCGTAAACAAAAGCCATTTTATACACGACTACAATTCAAAGGGGCGATATACCACCAAGTGAAATAATTACGAAAAAGTTAAGAAAATCAGTTCAAAGAACTTTTAATTCTGGCGAACTAAACGTCTTATTCTCTACACGACCGACGGTGCTACCTCGACTGAAAGATGAAGTACCTAGACTAGACTAGCCACTTCAAATTGCATGTACCAATTCAACTGCGTTTTTTGGTGGAGCGAGTTATATTGGCTGTTACTCTAAGAACTTGATTTTTCGTGCTAGCTCGAGAACATCTCCCACCATGGCTCACTAAAGGTGTGGTGAAAACCATTAACAGTTCGATATTATACCAACTGATCCAAACCGGTCACAAAACGAGCATTGAAGAATCCTTCTCTGTCATATCCCGGGTACCAAATAAATTGCCGAAAACATCCATGTACTGCATACAGCAAACAGCATAGGCTATCGTGTCTCGCCTCGAACAGCATTATTTACCGAAGGACAAAGTTTGGACACAATCCAGTCTTTATAGTCATATCAATTCTATAGTTTTCTATGTTCTCTCCTATTTTTCGTAGTAAGGGTAGTAAAATTTCCCAGATATCTGCGTGGACAGGTGCTGAATCATTCCTGTTTTTACGTATTCTCTTCAGTTGATTCGATAAACAAAGCTTCCGTTGACATCAATCTCTCCCTCCACCATTTTAGGTGTATCAGATTTTGAAACTGTCATCTTATCCCATCCATGGCATTGTATGGTTGTGTGTAATTGCATGTAGTGAATGCTATAGCTGAACTATTCTCCAGGTTTCTTATCTTATTCGGGTCAACTAATCTAGATAAACTCAGTACAACTGTGGTGAGAGCAGGCCGGGAGAAAATATGTACAAGGTTGATTAAACAACCAATCAGAAGCCTGCGTTTGTCTGCTTAACTTCTGATAAACAACCAATCAGAAGACTGCGCTTGTCTACTTGCATAAGCTATAGTAATGTATGTGAAATATATATAAATACGTGTTGATTTTCGTAATAAAACGATCTGTTGCCTGGCCTTTGTCTTCTGTTGTTACACAACTATCAATAACTTGGAATATAATTCTAAATACAAACACATGAATGAATGGGGAATATAATTTTGAACACACACATATACACACACAAAACATGAATGAGCAAAAAAAATTATAATGAACTATATGCATATGAGTACAAATTATAAATGTGTGTGAATAAAACAATTCCAACAGTGATGTGAACACGGGCAGTAGTAATTTTGCTCGAAATATTACCAATAACAAACCTTCTCATTGTGTGTAAACTATTGAAATATAATTATACTTTATTTGATCTAGTCGCACAATGCTCAAACTTTTTACTGATATTAATCTAGATTTTGCTAGGTTTTTATGATCGGCTAGTATGACTGACTGCACCTGTTCTACTAGTTTGACCTATGTATTTGACCTGACAGTCATTCCAGTAGTGTATTAGATAAACTAAATTGTTTTATTTTAAAGGCTCCACAGGACAAAGCTTGTTTCTAATTGAGTTTGTGGGTTTCAATGCAAATTTTATTCCTACCTTGTTAAGAATTCTTCATAAGGTTCCCGAGATTTCTTCCAGATTACTTGACCCGAATAATAATATAAGAAAACTGGAGAATAGGTCAGCTATATGAGTCATTAAATTCAATTACACACAACCAAACAATCGGATGGGATAAGATGACAGTTTTAAAATCTAATACAACTAACATGGTGGAGGGAGAGATTGATGAAAACGGAAGCTTTGTTTATCGAATCAACTGAGAGTGAATACGTGTAATAGGAATGATTCAACACCTGTCCACCCAGATATCTGGAAGATTCTACTATCCCAGCGACGACAAATAGGAGAGAATAAAGAAATCTATGAAACGGAAGTTTCGAAGTTGTGTAGTTACAACTGATATGATTATGAACAATAATAAATTGTGTTAGAAACATCGTAATCCACTAAATAATAATCCTGTTCCCCTGACTGTGTGATATAATATCTAGTGTAATAAAAAAGTTTTTTATGGAATTACATACTTCCACATTGTCCGTGGAATGACATCGCTCTGAATGCATGCCATTGCTCGAACGGAATCCCAATAGAAAGCGACGGACAAGTGCGTTGTCAGTGGGAAGGTGACATGGAGGAGATCATACAGTGTGGAAATTATGGAAAATCGTGGAGCTAGCCAGCTCAAGAGGACAGCAGAAAAAAGAAGAAATTGGTGATATGTTGTTAAAGCCCTATACATTCTATTCGGTATCAAAGGAAATAATGTATAATAATAATAATAGTAATGAATATTACAGTGTTCAAGTTTTACACACATATATTAACTTTGTTAGTTTGTGTTTATTTTTCTTGATTAAAACAGATTTCAAGCCTTCAGAAAATTAAAGATCACCAAAACACAGAGATTAACCAACTATCCTTAGTTCAAACTAATGAAGATAAAAAGATACTTTTACAAAATGCACAATTACAGGCTAAATGCGATGAACTAAGCAATCAACTTGAATTGATTAGAAACAATCTATCCAAAGAAAGGTCAGTGTGAGTGTTATTGTCTAGTTTTGTACCTTTTACGAATAGAAACTTGTCTCAGGATAGTCTCAAGATTTGAAAACAGTGTCTCCTATGGATTACTTACCCAACAGTATATCGATTAAGTCAAAGCAAAACATGAAATCAGTCTGTGAAGTCGATGACAGTTGGTTTGAGTCATGTGGGTGGGGGTGGGGGGTGTAGACTGCTATACTGGGGCTTTTGGGGATGTTAAGAAACAATGGGTTATGACTATTAGTGTTATGGCTCAAAATCATCCCCAATGGCGCCGATACATCCACCCTTTGTATTGATCCAGATCGGTTAAATCTTCAGGATTTTCCATGATATTACAGCTGTCTGCTAGCCGAAATTGGTAGACACCAACTTCCATCAGTGGTTACATCCCAAATCTGGGTCATGAGAAAAAACAATGACAAGGCTTAACCTTGAGGAAATCAGCAACCAATCACAGCACACTTTGCGTGGGCGGATACGAATTGCAGATATGTCACCGGACTGTCTAAGAAGCAATCACAAGCAGTACAGAATAACCTCGAGCAGGAAAACAGCCAATCAGAAAACGCTGTTTCTCTGCTAACAATAACGCTAATAATAATGTACATGAAAATCTATAAATATCTGTCGAATTTCTCAATAAAGGATCTGTTTCCTGACCCTTGTCTTCTGTAGTTACAATACTATTGTTTCTTCCGTATATTTCTACTCACTGTGGTTTTTTCTGTCTTTCCTATAACTTTGTGAGCTACATTGAGTATGACAGCTTGAAGTGTTGTACTTCTGTGGAAAGTCGTATTGCTGAAAGTCATTCTGTGAATGTGGACCTAGGTTATGTCTGGGTTTCGAATCCATTGTCATCGTTATTTATAATAGATAATGTTCAAGGATTTCATCATATATTGAATCGGAAGATGTTATTATATCCTTTAGTTCCTAGAGGAACATAGGGCTTCAGATGCACATCTCCATTGCGTTCGGTTCTCTGCCAACGTTTCCACCTCGCTTCACGTCTGCCCACATGCTTTCATCTCCTCTTCACATGACCTCCTCCTCCCCCATGTCACCCTCGCACTGATAACCAACTTGCCGCTTCCGATTCGGGTTCTACTCGAACGATGGCCTGGTGTGTGATACCACTCATTTAATGTCTTGTTTTCTCAGATTATGGCCTCCAATTCACCAACCTTCATTTCTACATGCGTATTTGTTGCACAATTGGTTCTTGCTGGGTTGGTTCGTTGGTTCATTGCCAGAGATCTCTCCCTGTTGCTGATCTTTTCTGGCTGGTTATCTGATCTTAAGTAGTACTGAGCGAAGACAGATGTTGATGGAGGTGTGTAGTTTGTTCGAAGTGCCCTTCATGACGCGGGGCGGTGCCACGTCTCTGATCCTTATAAGTGATTAGCATTGACTTTACATTGAAGTTGAAGATGTGGGTGTTATTTTTTAATGCTGAGTAGTGGTGTTGATCTCCACACAGACTTAAGAGTGATAAAATTGGTTCTTAAAGCTATTTAATCACCACTTTAATTTCTCCTTTGCTATTCTCGTTATTTTAGGGAACAGATCCAATTAGAAAATGAGGATCAATTACAGCTGTGCAGTGAACTTAAAGCTAAGAATATGGAACTTGAAGCAATCTGTTCAACACAAAAGAATCATGTAAGCATTTCTTGTCGGTGTTGTTGCAGATTAGTTAAAATTGATACCTTTTTACCTTTTGGTTAATGATGTAACAGGTTAAAACGATATAAGGCATAGTTTTCGATGTGATTATATTCTGTCTGACTTCAAGGGTGTTTAATTGAAAAGCTTTTGATTATCTTTCTAGGCGATGAACTTCAGAGTAAAATTCAGTATGATGTAAAACATCCACTCCTTGGATTACTTCTTATTCTGTGCTTCATATACCACTTTCGGTCTTCTAACCTAAATTCATCTCTGATAGCTTCATACTTCGTGTAAAGTGGCATAATAAGGTGAGCAACATGGAGGTTAGGCGTAGAGTTCTAGGTAAACAGGGGAAATCAATCGACGAAGTCGTGAAGCTACAAAGACTGAGATGGTTAGGACATGTGTTACGTATGCCAAGCCATCGCCTCCCTCGACGAGCTATGTTAGCGGATATAGGGTCAGGCTGGAAAAGAGCTAGCGGCGGTCAAACAAAGCCTTGGCCTCACCAGTCAATGAAATCTACAACAGTTGGTTTAAGCCATGTAGGAAGGTGTAGACTTCCAGGTTCGGGTCCTCAGGACGGTAAAAATCTATGGTTGGAAACAATTGGTGACATGGCTCAAAATCGTTCTCAGTGGCGCAGATGCATCCACTCCTTGTGACTTATGATCTCCAATGAAACTGTTTTGTTCTTCGTTATTACTCCTCCTTTGTCTCACACCTCTGCTCACTGTTTCTATTATGCTTTTCTTGTACTTTCTTCTCTTGCTTCGCGTGCTACAAGGAGGGAATGTGGCGACTTGAACTTCCGCACATTTGTGCAAAGTTCTATGTCGAAAACAGACAGACAGACTTCGTACTTAAGTGTGCGCTGAAGTTGCAGTCTAGGAAGACAATGACAGCTTTGTAATTGAAGCTTCATTCAACTCACAGAGCACAATCACATCAAAATCATCGACTTGAACAGCGAATCTTCTTGATTATTCCAAAGTGAATTTTTATTTTTATTTTTAATTTCTTGAGTTCTGGGTGTAACATAGGGCTTCAGGCTTGAGCTTTCAAGTTTCGCCTGAAAAGGTTTGGTTATTTTACGGAGTTTAGTTGCTAGTCACACGCTCAACTGTCTATCATCTTCGAGCTCGCTAGCCGGTAAGTGTAGTTAAGGAGTTCGTTGGCTGAGAGTTGAAAGTCAACAGATATTTATAGATTTTTATGTACATTATCAGCGTTATTGTTGGCAGTGAGGCCACGTCTTCTGATAGGTAGTTTTCTTGCTGGAGTTTATTCTGTACTGATTGTGACCGTTTCTTAGAAAGTTAGGCCATATATCTGCGAATCGTATTTGCCCACGTTAAGTCTGCTATGATTGGTTGTTGAGTTTCTCAAGGGTAGGCTTTGTTATTGCTTTTTGTCATGACCCTGAAGCGTAACGTGAAAATTGACGTAAATTGGTGTCTACAATTTAGGTTAGCAGATAGCTTTTACCATATATATATATATATATATATATATATATATATATATGGTAGACATGGGCACTGTAGTAGTCTGTAATTCCACAGTAATAATTTTTATTGAACAGATTACAGTGAAGTAGTATTGCTCAATGGATAACCTTTCAAATATAATTCATTATTAATAATCAAAGCATTAGTTTTAACTATATAACTTCGAAAGTTCATTTTTTCCGGTTCTTGTCCTTCTTTATCGATTATCGTAAGGCTGATAGAATTTCCAGATCTCCGGGATAGGTGCTGATATATTCCTATCTCATATGTTCACAGCTGACTCGACAGGATAAGGCTTCAGTTATCAATCTACCTCTGCTTCCATCCAGTTATATTGTATTTAATATAATAATAATGATAATTATTATTACAGCTTTATTCCAAACGGTATTTGTGGTACAGGTATGGAATTTTCAGCGTTTATTACAGTATATTGTATCTAATTACCTCATAAATTATATAAGATTTTTAAAATCAAAAGATACAAAAATAAACAAAAATAAAATAAGTAAATAAAAAATAAATAAATCAAATAAATAAAAAAAACAGCGTAGAGTTTACATTTTCTAACAATGCACCACACGATACGAAATATAAAGTTGATGTGTGATAGAAGATGAGAACAACAGTGTAATAGTAACGAAGAAAGGAAAACAAAAACTAATGAGACTATTTGTTAGAGTGCCGCAGTAAGCTTATCGTGTCATACCTAACGGATTCCTCATCACATAACAGCTGTGCCAGATATGGTATTGTGAAGTTTTTGTATTTGGTGGTCCTAGCATACAGCCTCCTATAGCTGCTTCTAGTTCTACCAGATGAAATGCAAGGAGACAGCTGCGTATAGAGAGGATGCTTGGGGTCCGACAATATTATATTCGCTAGTTTCTTACATGATATAATATGTCTATCTACTATAGTGTTAACCAGTTGGTTTAACGATATCCCACTTGCCCTACTAACAGCTTTTAGTGCCCTTCTCAGCGAAGCAAAGTCTTTCTTAAGTAGTCCAGGAAAGACTAATGGGGAGCAGTAAAGGAGGATGGGTAGAATACAAGAATTTACAAACTGAGAAAGCAAAGACTGCTTTATATCAGACTGCCTGAATTTACTAATGTAGAACGTTAAGCGAAACATCTTTCTAGTAACTAGTAAGATGTGGGAGGACCAGGAAAGATTGGCAGAAAAACTCAGCCCAAGGTACTTGACATTAGATGTATTTTCAACCTCTGTGCCGTCAATGATAGTGGGGCCATGTAAGCTAACTAGTTGTTGTAGGTCACGCTTATGTCTGAAAGTGAAATTGACTACCTGACATTTAGCCGGATTAAGCTTAAGTCCGTTTGAAGAGGACCACTGACTAATTTCCGATAGAAAGTTATTTAATTTGGAACAATCTGACTAAGAATTGACAGGCATTCTGTAGCATTCTTATTGTTTCCTCTGTCTAATATTTGAAAAAAAATAGACTTTGGCGGCCTGCTTAAATCTTGGGCTACCAATAACCTTAAACATTACAAATCATATTGCAGCTAATTGTATTTGAAAACTGTCACCTTTTTCCATCATACTGTAGGATTGTATGTAATAATAATAACATCTTTATTCTGGACATTATTTATAGAACGTACAGAATTTTCAGAGGAGTTCATTGCATGATACTTTCTCTCTGTACAATATCTTGAAGTTAAGTATTGATTGAGGTATTATTATTATTGTGATATATCTGATTTGTCTCCTTGAAGAAATCCTCAATATCGACATCAACTAATCTAGTTGAAAGCCGACTGTAAGATGTTCAGAAGTATATTTCACGACCCAAATACATAACTGAAGAACAGTTATCCCATATACTGGAACACGCTGTCACTCCCACAATCAGGCTATTTCTTAAGTTTGGTAGGAATTTTCGAATCAGGAGCTTGTAAACATTTTAAATACGTATAAGAGTAGGTTAATACCATCAGAGATCATATTGCAACCGATTGTTAATATCGAAAAAGAGAGAAAATATATATTCAATAGCAGAATGGAAGGTGTTGGTAGCCCAAGCTTTAAGCAGACCACCGTAACTGCATGTAGTACTCTATCTGGGCTTTTTTACTGGGTTTCTTATCTTATTAGGGCTTTTGTGATGTGCTAGTCTAACTGGTCATGTTTTGTTGGTTAGATATATGTGTTTGAATTCACAACCATTGTTTAATGGTCTCCAAGGGATCCTTTAAATGATGTTATTTGTTTTTTTTTAAGCGAGTTTGTAAGCTACTCTTATTTCAGCAACTCAGCGACTCAGACAAGTCCTCATAGAGAATGGATATCCTCCAAGATTTATCGAGAAAAACATTTTTTTTATTTACAGCTTGATTCCACACCGTATTTTTGGTACAAGTATGGAATTTTCAGCATGGATATCGGTAGCCCAAATTTTGCAGGCCAACCATAGATATCAGGTGTGCGCCGGCGTGGGCTCGAACCCCGGACCATGTGCATGGTCGGCGAGTGTCCTAACCACTGTGCCACCGACGCACATGAAGTTAAAGCAAAAACCTGAAAGAACCCAGACGGTGACGAAGAAACTGCTATTTATGAGCGTTGTATTTAAAAGTGATACCACAGCTGAGATCTTGAAGAATCGCTTATGCAGATCACTAAGGAAAGCCTTCTTTATGGCTGAGCTATGGATCACTTTCTACAGCTGACAAATGATCAATGGATGTGTGAAGGATAAACTGCCGCTTTGGACAGGCCACTTCAATGTGTGTTTATAAATTCACCTACTCGTTTAGAGCTAGTTATATTGGCCTCACCCAAAAAGCGCACACTTTCCTAATGCATCTCTGAACATTATCCGGCATGGTTAGCAAAGGGACAAGGCAAGACAACTACCAGCTCAATTCTTGAGCACTTGGTGAACTCAAGTCACACAGCTCCAACAGAGTCGTCTTTCAAGATTATCTACAGGGTGAGGCCAAAGGGTACAATGGGAGTCGGGTTTCGGCTTTTGTGTTTGGCGGAGGAGCTGACAATTCTTCAATATAACCCCGAACTTTGAATACAGAAAACGTTTATCCAGTCTCTTATTCTACCTTGGTCTTAACCTCTTCACCGGTCGTTTCCTGTAGAAAATTATGATTTTTTTCTTTTCTTTTTAATTTTTAATTTTACTTTAAGTTTGCTTTTACTTTAATAATTTTTTTTTATTCCTTCACGTTCCCCAGTGGAACATAGGGCCTCAAGCTATCGGCTTGAAGTTTCTGTAGCAGTGTTTAATTTTACAGGATGGGGTTGCTAGCCTCATGCCTAACCTTCCCTCTTTAGCAGTCTTATTACTGGTTTAGTGAGGTAAACGGGTGCGTCTGTGGCCTTTTGATCGAACCCTGAACCATGTGCATAGTCGGCGAGCGTCCTAACCGCTGTGTCACCGACGCACTTTAATAATTAATTCACTATTATCACTCTCATGTGTTCCTTTTGTACATT